CAGGTGGCAACCGCGAAGTGCGGCAGGGCCGGGCCGGGCCGCGCCCCCGGCGTACGGCGCGCACAGCCCTCCCGAATTCATCCGTTACCGCCGGATGAGCGGTAAACCGGGCACGTCAGAAGGATTTTAGTAAGACGCTGCCTCTGGAAGTGGCAACGTGGTTCGGTAGTATTGCACAGAACGGATAGCAGCCGGCATTTATCGGGTACGAGTCATCTGGTATTTGGCAGGTTCATTTTCCGAAATTCCTCAAAGCAAAATAGTTAGTGGCTTGATTTAAAAAAGCTAAAGCAAAACATTTAGATAGGTGTTCCCTGAAGTGCCCTGTTTCCACCACGTCAGTTATTTTGGGGGCAAATACGATGCACTGCCCGCCTTGTGCGGCAGATAATGCAAACAGAATGAAAGGAGGATCGCGTCCCAGCAGCCTCCTTTAGCAGAAGGAAGGATTGTTGCCTGATTCTCTTAACATTTTGCAGAGGAAAGGAAACCAAAGTTGATCCCAGACCGGAGCACAAAGCTCAGTCCTTTGCCAGACTGCTTCAAACCCCAACAAGTTTCTGCAAAAGCAATTTTAAGCCCATCAAAAAGCATATGCCCCTGTTGCACACTGTACAGGTTAGCGACATAATCGCTGTAAAATAGTGGTTTTTCAAGTTAGGAACAAAGCATAGGGATGTTTTACAAAGCAACAGACATTTTCCAGTTAATACCTGGCAAACAACTTGCCTGATTTTTCAGTTTTATTAAGAGAAGTTTTCAGCAACAGAGGACACTGCAGAAGCCTAGGGTGAGAAAAAGTCTACTTCAAATGGATTTCTCAAACAATCCCTACATTTAACCAAGTTGCTTCAGATTTTTTCCACTGCATGTACAAGAGACCTTAAATACTGTTTGCTGAGAAAACCTCAACTACATGTTTTAAGCATCCCTCTTTAGATAAGTTGGGTGTAAAGTTTCAAAGGGTGCCAAACACTATACCTACATGTTTAAAGCGTATATCCTATTTTTACTCGTAACTTTTTTCCAAAACCATTATTTTTACTGTAACTATAAAGCAATAATTCTGCCCACTGCATTTTCATTTAACTTTTTAAAAAAATGAATACATGTAGGGCCTAGATAGAGGTACAGCTTATGACTCTATCAGGAATTACAAAAATTAGGCTTGGAACAAATTCCATAATGCTATTTTTTGTTAGTTTGAAATTCACGGCTTCCTTAGAGCTCCATACTAATCTTCTGAAGTTGTCCATCCACAGTTTCTTTAGATGGTCGATACTCTTGCATATTATTGCCATCCCAGTAAAGGTAAGTGTGTCTTTGCAGAAATGAAAGAAATACCAATGTGCTTTCCACAGGAATGGAAACAGCCTTCTGGGATGTGCGCTAAGCATTATCTTCTGTGAAGGATGTGGGTATCCCCTAAGAAGTGTTTACATTTGGGTGCATTAGGCTACCATTTCCCCAAAATAATTCGCAGACAGATGGGCCTTAGGAGTGAAGCAGATATATGACATGACCACTGCAAACAATCTAAGACCAGCTGGGAAGCAGCCATTTAAAATTATCTCATTAAAAAGCCACCAAGTGTCAATGGTTTGACCAAACCACACAGTATGGAAATTGGGAGATACTTTAGTTTAATTGGCAGGAAGTATTATACCCAGTGTCAGTTACTTCAGGATGACATGTCAGCTTGATGCAGACAAAGTCTTGGCTGGTGTGGTTAACCACCAATAACTGCGTGATGCGAGAAAGGGCAGAGGCATGTCAACTGTTTGGTGGCTTCCATGTGCTGCTGGTAGCCAGGGAAGGTTTGTTAAGTGTACATAGCTCCTTGATAACCGCACCTGATGACGCAACTCAGGTGGTCACCTACAGCTCAAGAAGAGGGAGAATATAAAAACCTTGCCAGAAGCACAGATCAGTCAGCGGTAGGTTAATAGCAGTAAGTAGAAACAACTAAGGAAGAAATGGTTACTATATTGTACAGTTGACTCTTGTATACTGTTTCCAAGGCGCATGAATAATTTCTTGGTGATGCCTTGCCTTTCCCCTCCCCCTACATGCCCCAAAAAACCACCACCTGAAGCAAACCTTCACTTCTGCAGGAAGTTGAGGCTGCATGTCCTACCATTCAAATGCAGACTCAACTTCAACCATTTCTGATTCATATTCCACTGTAAACGACTACAATACAAACATTTACTTCTTTCAAATAAAATACACAGGTTTAACCATAATTTTATACTATCTCCACAGATGCTTAACAATTTATTTGTCAAGCCTATTGATAACTGATTTTTTTTTTTTTTTTTTTTTAACAAAGAGCATAATATAAAAGTAACAGTACAACAATTCCCTGCTCTACCAGGTCTATTTCTTCCTAGCAAGGAGGAAAAACTTCAGACATGGATTTGGGTTTTTAAAAAAAAAAAAAAAAAAATAGAAAAGATAATGTAAAACTTTTCCAAAGGAGAGTGTAGAGAAACCTTTGCATTGTAATTTACTCCAGATTTCATCAGCCTCAGAACACCAAAGCTTAGAACACCAAAACTATAACCAAACAGAACCCGAAGAGGCAGTACTCTGCGTGAAGAGTTGTATTTGCCAAGTGCAGTCAGTGATGCTTCCAAAACAAGAGAAATAAAAAATAATAGCTAAGTTGGACACAGTTGTAACTATCTGAAAAGCACTATTTAATTAAAAAAAAAAATCAAAGCAAGACAGAAAATTGACTGCATTTTAGTCAAATGCATGCATCTGTCTCAAATGTGGACATGATTTTTTTTAATGAGCAAACAAGATAGGCCAATGATTAAATGGTAAAAACCGACAGGAGAGGCATTATTACAAATACTAAATTCAACTGCAGGTTACAGAATACTGTTAAAGTCTGTTCTTGCACTAGAACTCCCATCTTGGAGCCTGACTTGGCACCTCTGTCTGGCATGACCAACCTTCAGTTCTATCCCCTGTTCCCAATCCTCTAAATTCAAAACTTAGCTATTTTTTCCTCCTCCTGTCACATGTGAAGCCAGTAGCCAGAGCACTATGAACACAGGAAAAAAATCTCTCCCTCTCACTAATTTCAGTGTGGCAGCAACTCTGTAATTCTGGAAGAATAACTGCAAGAGTCCTCCTAAGATCTGGCAGATAATCTAACACTTACTTTTTCTATTGAGATGGCATATAAACCATCCTCTTAAGGTATGTTTGCCTTTAGTAAAACACCTAAGGGCTTTAGTGTCAAAACACCAGAAATTCTGTACAGGTAAATTTCCACAAGGTTGTAACTTGAGTATGTTTTCAGAGGAAGTCTCCTAATACCAAGCCAACTCTCCTGTAAAATAGCAAGGTTCCCCAGCACGAGGGACACAATTCAGCTTCTCATTAAGAAACATTTATACACTTCTACATACATTTTTGTAGATATGTGTCTATTTTGAATGTATACATATACACACACACAGAGTGTCCTTTTTCACAACTGTAATAGTTACCCATGACACGACACATATATGCACTCAAAAAACACACACATTCAGACAACTCTTAGAGAGCCCTCCTTGCATGAACTTGCACATTGCATCTAGTCAGACCAGAAAGCATCGTGACAACAAAAAACACTTTACCTTCTGAGAGGAGACCGCTATTTCCCAAGCCTACAAGTTAGTGATTAAAGCAACAGTTCCTGAGGGAAGACTGACTTGCACTTGCAGTGTAACACTTGGTTGAAAACACTACAACTGTGATAACATTGCTGCGGAGTATGGATCTCAGTGGGGACCACAATGAGAACCACTAAGCTGAGAGATAAAAATCCAATTCTGTCTCAGTTTCTTTTCAATGTAGAAACAAGAATATTTGCATAACCAACTTCTCATCCAGCATTCAGTGGAATATCTATCTCCTACTTATTGCAAAAACTGTGGCAACAGGTATTTTCCAATACTTACAATAATTGTAACAATCTTTTAGATAAGAGATATATATGCATACATGGAAGATACCTTAAAAGCAAACAGATAAAATGCTTACCCCCAAAGCTGGCAATCTTTGTGTGCAACTGACAGCAACCTTCAGTTTCCAGTCTGTTTCTCCATCGAGCTGGTCAGTTCGAATGAAACACGAACCTTTAAGTTATAAAGAGACATCAAACTATTTTTTTTATCTCAGAAATTCAGTTTGGGTTAAAAAATTTAGAAGAGTGAAAATAAAGCAATTTACAACCATTTTTAAATAAATGTGCTACCTATAAAACGATTCATATTTTGGAATGTCTGTGTGCTTTCTTCCAGGAATGCCCCAGATATCACACAATAGCACAATTTTTCTGATAAAATTAACTATATGTCTGTTTATGAACGGGAGGGGGATCCTATTTTACAGGTTTCTTAATAGTTTCTAAACAGGTTTCCAAATTTATCAGCAAGAGATACCACTTCACTGGCTGAAATTGAAACAGGTTTTATTTTTTTTTTCTTTTTAGATTTGTGTTACTTGTACAATTCCAACACAATAGAATAATGAACTTATGCCTGTGATTTTTGTCTCTTTGCTGGTATGACATCACGTACTTCCACTGCTTATAGTCTCCTGGCTTCTCTGAAAAAAATTTTTTAAAATAAACCCTTAACATGGCTACCATTCAAAACAATATGGGTCCCAATGTATTATACTTAAATAATTTTGAATCATCTGTAATTGTCAAGGATCCAAGGCTAAAGAAACCTGTCAACACATGCACAGTACTTAAGGTACGAGGGAAGCTCAAGATACAGACTGATACATACTGAAGAGAATCAGTATACTTTACAGACAGAAGACTAGTATTCAAGAAACAGAAAACTGAGACCAGTGCAGAGCCTCCCCCTGCCCCAATAACTAGTTTGATGGATATCATGAAGTCTGGAGTATTACATAGGTTACTAATGCAAGATTCAAAAAAGACTGCACAAGAACATTGCAAATCTGTTAAAAACATACAATTAGCTACAATTTCCATCTAGTTTGAAGCCTTTAAAAAAGGTGGTAAAATTTTAGCAATACTCTTTACAATTGCTACACTAAAGAAACTTCAAATATTTCTGAAGTAATAATTACAACTTCCATTATGCTACAGGCTAGCAACTGTATACACTATTGTTACTGTGTGCTATGGGTGTGAAATAAAAATAGATTTTTCTAGTTATTTGTAAATTTTAAACAACGTGTATAGACATACATGCATGTATACCCATAATTCCTTCTATATTTCAACCAATCCAATAAAAACTAACAAAGTCGTTTCATCACTAGAAGTGGTATGGTAGCAATTAAACTGAAGGAGACACTGGCAAAGGAGTTCATCCAGGTTTGAGACTTCTTACACAGACAAGAAGACAATGTGCTAGAAGCTTTGAATCTAATAGGCAATACGTCAAGAAAGGGTACCTACCAGTGAACACAAAATTGAGAGAGATTCTTTTCTAGGACATGTGGACCCTGATGTAAGTAAAATCTAACAGAACCCAATGTTTTATTCATCAAGGCCTGTAAATTCAGCAGTTCAATGAGCTAATGGTCTGAAAGGACATGCTTGGGAGAGAAGCCACCTGAAATTATATCTGACTAGAAGGTAGCATTTTTGCACAAGTCTTCATAGAAGCTTACAAGCCTTCATGTAACAGCTGTATTTATATTAAGTGCATAGTAAGTAAACAAATCTTTAACTGTTAATATAAACAGCTCTCAGAACACATTATCACAACTAAATTTCACCCAAAGCTCAGAGCTGCAAGCTGCAAAGCTGTATCTAAAGTTCTTGAAAAGCTGATTTTAAATTCTTGACAGGATCCTTTATGGATTTTCTTCTAAAAATAAAATACTATAAAGCACTTTTTGAAGAGTCCAGTGACATACATTGCATTATAATTAAGGGTGAACACCTAGAAATACCACGGTTTCACCACACTTTCCATCCATGGCATAGATGAGCCTACTTTCCATCATACTTTTCCTGTACAAGACATTTCATGGTTCTCTTTACCCTTCCTGTCAATGGTTGCTCTCTTCCATCAATTTCATTTAGAATTATACTATAGATCAATGCAGTTCAAGACCAGTGTGGCTCCTGTGAATGGTTGACTGCACATATATTCATTTAATAGAGCTCACACTATGACATGTATTGGCCAGCTGCATTTCCTCTCCACTTCAGCAGTTAATTTCATCAATAACTTATCTCATAGCCTGTTCCCTTTTATCCAGAAAACGGGACTGCTTTCTGCTAAGTCAGCTTTCAATAGTGATCACAACAGCAAAACTGGAACAATACAATCCGCTTCTCTACCTCAAATACTGCAGCAGATTTGACTGAGTAATTTTAATTATACTGAGATACTGATTTTAAACCTGGCTTAACTAAGCTATAAACATGGGATATTAAACATGTAATTAGAAACAAGGTATAAAAACAACTCTTCACCACTACCAAGCCCTTGGACTTGTAAAAAACTAAATATTCCCCACTGTGTATTGCGTGGAAGTCACACATACTTTACACCTTTGGAAGAAGGTACTTGAGTCAGCAGTACCTCAAACTTCTAAAAATCAGTGTCTTCTGAAAAAATAGCTATTGTAACTGCTCCATTTTGAAATGCTTGGAATCATTGCCCCTTTCCCCCAACCACAAAATTTAAAAAAACAAAAAAGAAAACACAAATGTAGTAAAAAATTGTGTTATGTACTTTAACAGAATGCTTTAGGTCAGTGTTAAAAATCTCTTACATTTCTAACCTGAATATGACTTGCCAGGAATAAAACATCTATATAAACATCAGGAATTGCTATTCCCTCTGAATTCAGTGATAACTCTTGAACCTGACAATTATTTTACAGCACACAAAGAATCAAAAATTTTTTTTTAATTTCTGTGCTGCTTAAAAAGTCATGAAGTATTTTAAATATTTACCAATCAAAGCATAGCTGTCTACAAAAAAAATTCCACAATGAACATAAATTTTCATAAGGCTACATATAAAGGAGAACAAATAAAATTAAACTTTTTACTTTGTAGAGTGACTGCACTCAGATGCTCATTTCCCATAACAATACACAGTCATTCAAGATTAGTGGACAAAGTTGAACATTGTGAACGTCTGACTTATTTCTGTCTTTATAGTGAAAATTTTGGAATTATCTGAATTAGGATTTAAGGGTTGATTTAAGGAAATTTCACTAGGTTTAAAGAGTTTAATCATTTATCGGAAGTGGTGCAAACTTCACGTGAGCACATCTGAACTAAGTATGTAATATTCATTTAGCCTAATCAGTTGAAGACAGGCATAAATCAATTTAGAGCATGTTCATGCAAGGTGCTGCCCAAGTGCAACTAAACTGATTTTTAAAACCATTTCAGTTGAAATCTGTGAAACTTGTATCCTTAGGGAAGTCCTAGGACTACAATTCCGTTTTTTGTGTTTTAGCAAAAGCTCAACTATTTGAGGCCTGTCCAGAATTTACCCTAAGATTGCTTTTCTGTGTATTGCAGGTGCTGCTTTTCCAAAGGATGAAAACCGTTTTAAGAACCTGAAGTAACTATGTAACTTCAAAATACATTGGTAATTATCAGACTTCTTGATTATGGTTATTTGAGATACTATGGATAAAAAAAACCCCATCTTTTTTTAAAAGCTATTTTGTGTGTTAATAGAATATTGAACAAAAATAACGTTTATTTCAGTAGCTTTTATGGTGTTTTGAAATAGAGATACAAAAGCTCATCTATGAAGGCACTAATTTAGGGCCATGATATGCCCGGCCTAGATTTGTCAAACAAAGGTACTGTGCTCAATACAGAGTACACAGGAAGAATCCTACTTACTCAGTGTGTGCTGGACTTAAGGCTTTATTCAGGACATACATGCAGGACATATACATGTCAAATGCTTCTGAGAATGGTTTGCACTTACATGTGCATCAGTAACCTCTCTTATGGGCCTGCCTACCTCTAGAAATCCTGAAGAAAAAGGCCCTGGACACAAATTTTCAAACTAAATACAGGTTGTGCTTGGGAAATGCTGGTCATATTTTAGCCTTAAACTTATAAACAAAGTGAGACAATTAAAAAAAGAGAGAGAAAAATTCCCCCCCAACCCAGAGAGAGAAGCTTCTTAATGAAGTAAAATCCAATTATATCATAAGCATCATCATCAGATAGCCAAATCTTGTATTTTTCATACTATGAAACTTGCTATTCATATTTTAGGCATTAATTTCTTTATGTGCAGATATCTAATTTCCTGAAATTATAGTAATGTACATAAAATTGTGCTACCACCAAGCACTTAAATTTTATTTTTATATACACAATTCTGAGTATTAATTACAGTTTTTAATACAGGCTTCTGAAAACAAGCTATTACTTGGGATCTTACATATTTTCTTAAATGTATTCTAGCTTACAGGGTTTTTAAAATAAGTCACTCGGAAGAGAAAATTTTTTGTGTATTAATGAAATTATTTATTTCATTTGGAAATGTTGTTTCTGATAAGCAGAAAGATGGATAATTTGTCCTTAAAACAATTAGCTTACTATTCAGCCTGTTTACCAAGTAGTTTCTAAAGAAAGTGTAGTTAACACAAGAAACCCAAAATAGCAGTATTTGACAGATTAATAATGACAGATTAAGAGCAGTCTACTTTGCAAAAGGAAAATAATTTAAGTTATTCTGTATAAAATTGCATCACTTGATTTTCATGGAAAGCTACAACGAAGAAAAAAAAAATTCATTCAAATGATCTGAATTACATCGACATTTGGTATTTGCAGTAACTGTGGAAAGAAAATCTCAACTACCCTAGAGAAGTTGGTTTAATTTGCTGCAGAAACAAAACTATGTGTCATTTGTAGCATCTCCTGTGTATTGTTCTTTCAGAGATGTTTTAGGCAAAGGCGCTTTAGTAAGGAGACTGCAACAGAACTTTTCTTAGTAGCCTAATAGTGTCCTAAAATAATCAGACAGAAGCAGAATATCCTACCAGTTATACAAGTATGGCCTCATGTTCTTTGTTAGGCAGTAATACTCTTGAATAATCCAAGACTGGATAATTGAATCCAAATACCTCGAAGTGCATGCATCAACTCATGGAA